GTCCAGTTACAATGCAAGATAGATACTCTAAATGAATATTGTTTGAAATGGGGTCTTCAGATAAATATTAGTAAAACTAAAGTAATGGTATTTAAAAATGGGGGTAAAATCTCTAAAAGTGAAAAATGGTTCCTTAATGGCAAAAAAATTGGAGGTGGTGTCATATTACAAATATTTAGGTATTATATTTTCGTGTAGAAATATATTCTCCAGAGCCTGTGAAACATTATCTATGCAAGCTGAACGAGCCCTACATGTCATAAAGAAATTCATATGCAAATATAAAGAATTACCGATCCATGCATCATTTAAACTGTTTGATGGAAAAATTCAACCAATTTTGTTGTACGGCTCTGAAATATGGGGCATTAACATAAACAAGAATATTGAAAAGGTACCTTCAAAGTTCTGTAAGTTCTTGTTGCGTGTTGGCTACAGAACTGCGAACAAGGTTATTTTAGCTGAATGTGGACGTTTTCCACTGTTTATTAACGCCCGATGTCGGGTTATTTCATATTGGCTAAGATTGATGAGACAACCAATTTCACGATATTCAAGATGTAGTTATGAAATGCTTAAAACACTAGATGATCCCGGAGATATTAATTGGGTTTCATTCGTTAGAACTATTCTTTTTAGTCATGGCTTTGGAAATGTATGGATCGCCCAAAATGTAAGTAATACACAATATTTCATCAAATTATTCAAGCAGAGATGCAAAGACATTTATCAACAGGACTGGTATAATGAAATAACGTCATCAACCTGTGTCAACTTTTATTCAGAATATAAATATTGTATTAATACAGAAATTTACCGCTTACTAAATTTAGATGTAACGCTTACAACTTCAAAGTCCAAGCGGCGCGATTTGCCAAAACTTCAAATGCAATAGATATCCAATGTCCATTCTGCAATTTATCGCAAGAAGATGAGTGCCATGTATTACTTGTATGCCCGAAATATTTAGAAATAAGAGAAACATATTTGCCTTATTTTTTCTATAACCAACCGTCGAGACATAAATTCTGTATGCTACTTCGCACAGAAAACATTGACTTGTTGTTTAAGCTAGCCCTTGAGTTGTACCACATACTTATGTTGAGAGAAAAAATGTAAATTGTGAATGGGTGTTTATGGATTTATTGATGTTCCTATAACTCGCGTATTTACAGGTTGCGCATAACTGCACTGCTATTATTGTACACATGTACTATAGGCCTCAGGGCCACATATACAAATAAATATGTCTGTCTGTCTGTCAATTTGATTGATGCATTTACTCACTGGAGAATTCTGTACGAGATATACAGACAGGCAAACTGTAAGCAATATAGCAAAATGCTTGGCTCGCATCTGAGAAGACTGGTCATTTTGCTCTGTTGCGCAACTCGGTTGCATTACAGTTTCCCTATTAAATGAAAAACAAAACTATTGTTAAATCGATATTCTAAAATTGTATCTATCTTCATTGGAATAACTCTATGCTGATTATTATTTGTTAAACTATAAAATGTATATGTTACGTGAGTTCTGCTTCTATTTCTGATCATCTTTCTTCTTATTGTAATGATAACCAGTCGAACATTGTATTTGCAAATCAGAATGTTAATTCCTTAGTTTTAATTGATATTCCCAACACATACAATCATTTAATTGCAATCTCTTTAATAGTCAATGTATTCATGTTAAACGCAAATGTAAAAGCTGTGTTTCATGAAATTGAAATAAAATAGAAACTAAAGACAAAATTCAATGTACATGTAATCTTAAAAGCTTGATAAGCAATGAACAAAATACACAATGTAATGAACACGTTTATTGTTTAGGTTGTGTTTTAGTGCAAGCTGTTTTTGCATTGACCTTGTACAGCTTCCGCAGTAGATTGACATATTAGATTGAAAAACCGTATGGGTCTTCAAATTTGTAACTGTGTTAAATTATGAGATTAAGTATATCCTGATCTTGGCGCGTCAGCTTCATAAGGGATGAAGCCCAGGAGTAGCGCAAGTCCCACACCTTCACCACTTCAGTAGAATTCACCAGCAGGATCTAACACTGATAAATCTAAAAACCATAAGCAGACTGTACTATAAATTTCAGACATGATACCACAGAGTCGGCATTTGGTTCTCTTGCCATTTGCATCAAGCTCAAAATGAGCCCAAACACTCAACTTAGCATGCGTGTCGTCCATATTGCTCTAGGTTAGAGTTACCTGCCCTAACCGGGTACTCGATTCCTTGAAATAGGACTCGATTCCAGCTGTACCCGACCCGGATTCGAGTACCCGAGTATCCGTCCCAGCCCTAGTAAACAGTCGCTGAAAATAACGTTTTCGTCAATAATCAAGGATGTCAGCTTGCGGAAATATTAGCTAATGGTAACCATGTCATCAGAAAGCCATAAGCGTATAAATTGCAGGTCAAATATCGGTGTTGTATCCGCATTATCGTTTGTTGAGAGATCAGTCTCAGTGACCGAGGAAGTTTGTAAGTCCCGCCGAACCCTAAAAAGTAGCCGTTGTCTGATTGAATAAATCCGTTCGGGCGACTTACATTTTGTTGGGCGGCCATAGGTCGTTCAACGGTTAGCTGACGCGACCTTCTACTAGGGTTTGTTAGACTCAGTATAGCAGTGTAACGAATAATACTGAGCCTAAGTTTACTTAGACTGACTGACTACATGGGTTGCTCGAGATCAGTCACTTTGTTTATGAGCAAGTTAGGACATCTGTGAGTTACCCTACGATCTGTAGGTTATAGGTTTGAAAAACCAATCACTCATTTTTTTTACTTCAGGTAAAGTGATCCCAAAGTACACGTAGTGCAACCTTCATGACATCTTGTCTCAAAGTGACGAGATCACCCCGCAGCAACTCCACCTCTCTGCTCCACCTCCCCAAACCGCTAATACCCAGTCATAAAATCAATACTGACTTCTATTTGGACCACATCTCAAGTCTTCGTTGGCAAGATTACATAACACTTTTTCAAGTCGTCTTATCTAACAACCATGATATACTGAACAGCAAAAGAAACGCAAGTTTCGAAAATGAAATTCCATGAAGGTAAGCGTTCATGGTTATGGAACGTTCATGGTAAAGTGACGTAATGATCCCAGATGAGATGATGTCATGCAATTTGACGTCCATACGAACCATTCGCACAAACACACCAACAGTGCAGCAAAACCATAATTTTAGCACGTGCGTCGACGGTTCTGGATGGAAAGCATGAATTTCACTCTGAGGTATTCTTTATAAAGGTTTGTGTCAAAAAACAGTTCAGTATTGACACTAGGAGGTGTAAACGCCACACAAACGATGCCTAGACTAACGACTGAGCAGAGGGGAGTGGCCATGGGAAAGTTGCACGGAGGTAGCTCTGCAATCGCTGTAGCTAGGCAATTGGGCTGTCATCTTACCACATTACACGACTTGCTCAACGTCATCAGCAAACCGGGGTTGCTGCTGATCGTCCCCGTACCGGACGGCACCTCATACGCAGGATCGGTCACTCATCTAAAGAACCGAACTCAAGCAGAAACAGTAACAGCAGTCTTAGTTCTTGGGTCAAGTGGAGCAGTTCCCAGCGATACGATTAGACGTCGTCTTCGGGCTGCTGGAATCCACTGCCGACGACCATATGTGGGGCCAGTTTTGACACGTCAACAACGCAAGCAGACCTCACACAGCAAGGGTGTTGATGGATCATCTGGCTCAGAACAACGTTAACATTTTTCCATAGCCGTCTCTTTCCCGGATTTGGCTCCCTTTGAACATTCTGGGACGAAATTGGACGGAGGATTGGGGCATGTAGACAGCCACTCACACTTGCACAATTGGAATACAGATTGGTGTTTGAGCGGAACCAGTTGCCTCAGGCAGCCTTCCAGACTCTAGTGAACTCAATGAGGCCACGTTGCACGGCCTGTGTGCAAGCTTAAGGTGGCTTTTCGCGCTATTAAAGAGATTGTCACTTTTCGCGTTCAGGGGTATCTCCATTTGACGGACTGTGATCAATTTGAACTTATTGCAATTCAATGTCAACAGCAACTTTCAACTGTTAAATTGACAGTGTTTTCTATAGAATAAATGATTCGACATGACTTTGGTGGTTTTCTATTAAAAAACTTGACAAAAAGCCAGACTTGCGTTACTTTTGCTGTTCAGTATACATACAATACAAGTGCCCCCGATCTCAATATATTTGGAACTAGCTGTGCACTTGTCTCCAAGCTGTGCACTTGACGGATCTCCAAGGTAAGCAATATCGTTTGGTATATCATATAGTCGAAATTTGGAGAAAATAAATGAATTTAGAAGAAAAACATCAAAGCAACACATAGCAAAGAATTATGTTACAAAAGAGGCAGCATTAGGCTATCGTACGATCAAGCTAAAAGAATAATAATAAAAATAATTTTGTTTAAAAAATGTGGCACGTTTTGGGGATTTCGTTTTCAATATCATCATCAAATTTCATTACCTTTCATTGGTATACTATATATTATAATATATCAAATAACTATAGACATACCCAGTCCAGGTCTTTGCTGAGATATAGGTGATCAACCAGCAATGCTTACAAAGACACAAACTGGACTCTTTGCTGGTAAGGCACAAGCAAATGGTAGCCGTACGATTGGGTTGTATAGCGCAGGCAGAATTATGACTTATGACTTTAGTGCACAAAGAAAAATGTCTGCAATGATATGATTATGGAAGTTTCATTCCTTTTACACTCGAAACCGTTAGAGCTTTAAATACACTTGGTAAGGTCGTTCATAAACAGATTTGTACTAAAGTTATTCTATTTGCTCAGCTATGCCAAAAAAAGCACAAAAAAGCATCATAAATATTTTAAAAAGTGTTTTGATTGTGACTTATAATTCACAAACATTGAGATTGTGTTGTCTAACTAGAACTTTATTTGTGGCACAGTGAAATATAATATACACTAGACGCCAAAAGAAACGCTACCCTCCTACATTTATGAATTACTTTAAAACTATCAAAGATACGTTAGAAGGTATTAGTTTACAAGAAAGCTTAACAACACACCTTTATGCAAATCACGAAACAAAAATCTCAAATGCATTCCTATTTAGGTGAAATGCATCTTATTTAGAAGGGTTAAATTGTCCTATTTTCGTCCATGCCGAAAAAACCAATAACAGTGATTTAGATTTCCAAAACAAAGGTTGAAATTAAATTCTGCTTTGAGACAAAGATGAACCATTTAAAGAAACCATTTTTCAACTATTAAAAGAAGAAATAACTGTGTGTACAATTGTAAAATAATCATTCCTATGATTTCAGTCTTTTAAAACATTTTCTGCTGATTTGGATTAGTGAAAACAAGTAAAACGTGTCTTTGATATTGTTGAAAAATGTTTAGGAACATCTAAAATTATCTTTGTTAACATTTTTGCTTTCAAAGTAACATTTTTCCATAGCAATGTCAGTCGTCAAAGTGCAGCAATATTCAAGCAGTATCTGCATCCATTTCACATGTAGAATGATTCTATAGGGTATGAAGAGAGCCTAGAATACATGATTTGATACACAAGTACGAGAAATATGCCACGATTAACAGCTGAAGAGAGAGAAAGAGCCTTTGGGATGGTGCAGATGGGGTCGACATACAATGCTGTTGCCAACGCCCTCGGATGCCATCGTATCACGGTTATAAGACTTATTCAGGGCTTAAGACAGACTGGGGTCACCGTAGACAGACCAAGAAGTGGACGTCCACGCATCACAACGCCAGCTGAAGATAGGTACCCCCGTCACTGGGATAGGAGGGTAACGTTTCTTTTGGCGCTTGGTGTATACATGCCAACTTATATTGGGCTGATTTAGGAGAGTGAGTGAATTACATCGACAGTATTTCAGCCATATCTTTACTACATAATACATAAAGTTAACTTTTAAAAAAATCTAGTCAACGAGGGACAGTAAAAGAACTAAATTATTACAGATATAGATATAAACCTGTCAACGAGGGACAGTAAAATCAACTACATTCTCACATAAAGATGTAAAACAAGAATGTAAATCTAAGACCTTTTAACTATTGAAAACAATACAATATAAGAACAGGCTATAGATCATCAACAACTGAAGGGAGATAACCATACTAGGGACCATGGGACTTTGAGTAATTTTGCTACCTGCATGGACCTTAGTAGTATAGGGAATGGCGGTAAGGTGACAGGTCCCCTATAAGCGATATTTTTGCGAACTCTGGATCCTGTCAGAGTGAAAAATACGGGTCATCATTCGACGTCCATGCAAAAATCGTTCCCTTTTTAGAGGTAAGATATTATTAGAAGTATAAACGAAGATGAACGTGCAAAGAGAAATTGAGATACCAGAATGTATCATTGGGTTGGTATGGAATGGTGTATGGATTCCTGAGAGCTAAGCGTACTAAAAAAATATTGGCCATAGCGGGAAGAGAGACAGACATTCTGGTTTGATGTAAGTGGGCAGGACAGAGTTCCAGTAGAGTTGTGCTTAAAGATGGGACCGTTGTTTGGGCAAACCAAGAATTGGAGCTTGCATTAAAAGAGAAATCTCACTATGCTGAATCATTCGTGGACGGGGAACGGAAAATTAGCTGGATAATGAGAGACATTGGCAGGTTCGACACTCGGATTTAGAGTTTTCGTAGAACCAGCCCAAACTTTCCGGTAAGACAGAAAAAAGATAACTTGTTATCCGACCACTTTAACGGTTTTACCGAATACCATACAACCATCTGATTATTTTATGGATTTAGATTGACATCGAGGAAACAGTTCAGCGTCATATGATCTCTTTGGTTTTGGAAAGAAACGCTTGCCTGTCCTGTTGTCTGCCCTGTTCTATAAGTTTTTTCTCGTCTTCGCCGATGTCACTCATCTTGTGGACCTTGGTTCGAATCTCTTGTTTCAACCTGTGGTACTTGGCGAGTTCTGCTAAGACCAGACGGAACTCTTCCTCTGTGATCATCGATCATGTTCAACTTGGCTTCAGCTAGAACCCTAATCTCATCGTGCTTCAGTGCTTTACGTCGCAGACGACCTGAAATGAATTTGAGAGCTATTACCACCAGCCCCGATACCCCGGCTACTATTTCCAACACGAGGACAGCGGGCATGACTACAATGGTTGACAATAGACCGATGCGGATCGCACCGAGTCCCATCCTGGCTGTTATGAGCGCTGAATCCACGCTGTTGATGGCATTCACGCCTCAGTGGTACTTATTGTGCAATGCGCTTCATGCATCTCGTTCTTGTTCTAGTTGGCGTTTGATCTTGCTTATCTGTCGCAGACGAAATCCGGCCACGGTTTCAAGTGTTTTGGCAACGTTCCCATGGTGGCATACAATCCCATCTTCATATATTAATATAAGTTAGAAAGTAATATTTAATTGGTTTTCCGTCAGTTTCTGATTGATGTACTTGAGGTTGATAAAGTTTAGGTTTTCGTGCAAGTAAATAGGTGAGAGCTGAATGAAATCTGTTTCATCAACATGAACCCTGTCGAGGCTTGTTGATGGTATCAGCCCTGGTCTTATGAAAATACGGCAACGTTGGTGCGTGTGTTGATGGCTTCAGTTTATCGTCAACCCATTCAAGAGTGCCAGATTTTCCGAGGGAACGTTGACGAGATAAACTTCTATTATGAGCGTAGTGTGCAACTTTATAGCGAAATTTGAGTCGAGAAAATGCAGTTGGTAATTGGGTATGTTGGACAGCAAAGACGCATTCGAGTTGACTGGAGCTAAAATGTTGCCCGTGTGACCCGGTATTTGCAATACCTGTATGGTATTATCGATTTTTCATCGTGAAAGACGTGAGAAGGATCCTGTTGTTGATGATTTCAGAGAAGTAACCATTTTTTACAAATATGAACGATGCCGAGGTGAGGGTGATATCCATCAACCAGTCGATTTTTTGTGAAACTTCTTGCCGCACATACACATTGATTTGCAAGTGAAAGGCGTATAATGTATTTTCCGTGCCGGTTCAATGGAATCCTTGCGTGTCCCCGAGGTTGGTGAGTGCTACGGTGGCGCAATTTGCAACATCCATTGGCTATGATTAATTTCATGAAATAATTTTCAATTGGTTTTGCGACAGTCTGTCGGGCGTGCACTTGAGGCTGATGAGATGTATGCGATTGGGCAAGAAAATTTTGGCTAGTGAAATTTTTGCTTTCGAGGTCACTGGAGACTTGTGTAAGACTTCACGTCTACCTGCACGTAAATTGAGCAGATGTGATATTGCTGCTGCTTGGACCAACGGAGTTTGATCCTTTTCACGATTTTGACATCCTCTTTGTCCGCTGATGGTGCCTCTCAGAGATACACTTCCATGTAAATCGTCGAATTCGGAGGTATGCTTTCCAGGATTCTGACCATGCCATCGAATTCCGACACCAGCTGCAAACTGATGTTTTGTATCGCGGGTTTACTTGATAGCATATGACACTCCTTCCCTGCGATGGTACGTAAGCCACGAGTAGAATCCCGCTGTTGATGACTTTGGTGACGTGATGATCCTTGTTCTCAATAAACACACAGGGAGAAATGAGAGCGATATTCAACAGCCAGTTTGTTTTAGGCGAGATCATCATCCACTAGTTGTCATCAGTGTAGACGAGATTGTACGTGGTTTTTTGGAGGTACCCCGAGTCTCGAAGTCAAATGCTGCGACTATCGCCATTTGGTTTTGTCATAGTTGTTGCATATGAGATTGTATTGCATGTTGATTTCATCCCCAGTCTTGACTAAATCTCCTAGGCTGCTGACGCCACCGCTGCTGTCACCACTGGGCACTTCGGTGCGTTTGTACACGTTTTTCAGTTGCAAGGCGTACAGCTTGCCTTCGGTTCTGGGTTCATTGAACCCTCGTGTGTCCCCAAGGTCCAAGAGCATTAACGTGGCGCATTTTCTGACACGATGCGCGTTTCCGTGACCTTAAGCCTGCGTCATCGTTTTACGTGCAGTGTCATTCTGAAATATCCTATGTGTATCCTATGTGCATATAATGATGCACTTAGGACTAAAACTAGATCCTTTCCGAAGATTAAAGGAACCGCTCGGAGTCAAAGCCATCAGTGATGATCATGAACAATCTAAGCACGACCGATCAAAACCAAACACTGCTGGTTCGATTCCCCAAACTTGGTGAGAACGACGTCATCATACCTGGAACGGCACGCCTGGCTTTTCACATCACTTTGGATTCTGAGAATGACAAACGCACGATCATGGACATCAAACGACCATCAAAATCAGCGGGAACGAGGTGCTCAGCATCGATGACAGCGACATGCTTTTCACATATGTGGACCTCTGGAGACACTCGTACGAACGTTGTATAAAGGACTTTGTTGGGCAACTGTCATGTGAATAACATACATGTAGCAATAGCTCATATGCAAGACGAGCTTGATCAAATGGCACTGAAAGATAGAGCCATTGCCGAAGCATACAGGAACCGGTTTTGCATTCCGCTCGACTTCGAGTTGCTCGATGGGCACATGCCTTTTACCAGGCCACGCTGTGTGACAGGCTGGAATACGAACTCACGTTCAATGAAGACAGCAAAGACCAGACGGCACTGAGGCTAGCTACATCGATGACAACATCTCGCAGGACTTCGACATGGTCACGAGCCCAGAAGTGGCTCGGCAGATTTGCAACCAGTACTTGGGCAAGCTGTCCATCCTGTACGATCTTGTTTTGCGGCACCGGAAGATTGTCAAGGGCAACAGAGACACGCTTTGGAACATCAACCTGAACATGACGGCCCGATCGATGAAAGGCATTCTGATCATTCCCATGGAGGAATACCAACCGTTACAAAGAAGCAGCAAAAAGACTTGGAACCCCAAGATCATGAAAGTGGATGTGACCTTTGAAGGCATGCCAAACCAGCTGTTCAACCAAGGCATGCGACCTCACGAACAGTGGGATGAGATCCGAAAACTGCTGGCAATCAAGCGCGCACC